GGGACAGCGAGCAGCGACAACAGTAACAACAGTAACTGTAGCAATAATAATACTTAATAATAACAATAATATCACCTACCTAAACCTACCACCTGAAAGTCTCCATTCTAAGTCCTCAGCACTAGTGAGACAGACTGAAATAGCATGTCAAATAGAGAAAGAAATGGCATGACATTTTGTATAGATATTCATGGTCTCCAGATGACGAATCCTTATGAATTTAGTGATGTTAACTTTTCATCTCGTACCGTCATCAAGTCTTCAATTTGTCCAATATTTTTCCTTATATCCAAGTACTTGCGAAACTCTTTACAATTTCTACTATTTATAGCCTTGGCTATATGTTAAGTTGTGGCGGCTGTGCTCAGAGGTAGAGCGGGTTGTCCACGAATCAGAAGGTTGGCGGATCGATCCCTGACTCCTCTCGCTGAACCCCAAATTGCTGTGCATCTGTGTATGACTGTGTGTGAATGGTTAGTTTCCATTCTGGTGAGCAGTTGCCACCTTGCATGGCAGCCACTGTCATGAGTGTATGAATGTGTGTGAAATGGGGTGAGTGTGGCATGTAGTGGTTGAAAGACTAGAAAGGCGCTATATAAGTACAGTCCATTTACCATTTGAAACACTGCTGAAACACTGAACATATATCTGAACCATATATTATAAATGTGATAAACAAGAACTGATAAATATCAGTATTTTAACATCATCAACATTAGCATTTGGCTCTAAGCATAACTGTTCCTCACAGTCTCAAAGAGCTGCTAGCTATAGTCCAGTTGTAGCAACTTGGGGACCAATGTTCCCTTCAAAGTAGGTCCACAAGTGCTTTATTTTTGCTACTGACAGGCACAGATTGTTATCCTGAGTGTCTGACAACATTATAGAAATAATCTCTACAATGGTAGACCTTTTGTTTAACCAGAAACAGCCAGTTATACCACTATTGAACGCCACCAGACTCCATTGACAAATATTTTACCTTGCAGATCATAGAAAAAACACATCTTCATTGAAACTGGTCAGAACAAAATAAAATGTTGTCTTTGTTAGTCTTTTCATTAAAAATAAATCATTAAGTCAACGAGGTACATGAGAAAACAAACAGCTAATTCAGTTGCTGCCCTCAAAGCCATTGTAAAGTCACTGTATTAATAATAAATAACACAGAAGGAAGGAGTGTGGCGTCATTATCTGCTCAGGATGCCATTACTCCACTATACATCGATCAGCCATAACATATGTTAAGCAGCCCCATGTGCAACAAACTGCGATGCACTGTGTTCGGACACCTTTCTGTCAGAACCAGCATTAACTTTTTCAGCAGTTTGAGCTACAGCCTTTGCTCCCCACGTGCATCAATGAGTCTTTTCCTTCCTTGAACCACTTTTGATAGGTACTGACCACTTTAGACCAGGAACACCCAACAAGAGCTGCAGTTTTGGAGATGCTCTGAATGTTATGGCTGATCGGTATACTGTATATTGACAAAGCAAATTGTTTTTTGCTGCTATATTGATGTTCTTACTCTTGTACATATTACCTTTAAGCTCCTTTATTTGACTTGTGACTTTTTCAGTGTGTCAAGTCAACTTATATTTTAGTAGCGCTGAAGACCTGCAGAGCTGTATTTACAGGTTACACAGTGATCCAGTGAAATCTGAATTAACAGTTTTTTTACCCTCAAAGTCACGGTATGCTCAGTCACACGTCCCTCCTCTTCACCTGCTACCTATACATACTTCTCCCTTTGATTGGTTTACTACTTGTTTTTCTTCCCATTTTGATACCCCTCCCACCACCCTCCATCTCATTCCAGCCCAGTGTGCCCCCAGTCCCCACACCTCCCCGACCAGCCTGGCACCTCCCCCTTCCTCTGCTGACTTTCCCAACTCTGCCCACATCATGAAGGTCTGAGTCACACAAGGTGAGTCTCCGTTCAACACACCACGTCTCCGTCTTCCCCTATCCTGTTTTGACACTCTGCTTGCTTCTTTCTTTGGGACTGCTTTACATTTACTCAGGTTTATAATGTGGTACATTATATTGGACCAATATAGGTTTTGAATAAAAATAAAATAAAAATAAAAATGTTCATGTTTATAAGTTTAAGATGCTGATGACAGATGTTTGGTCCAGACAAATTTATTTGCTTTTATCTTTGGTTTGCAAAAAGAAATGGAGGAACAGAAATGAACTACCTGGACATGATGTGGAAAAAGTGTGTCTTGTTTTGGAGACGTTTTACTAAGCTTGAAGGTCCATTCTCAGAATTCAAAAGGTCAAACTTTCTGAAAACATTTCACATGGCAAGATATGTAGTTGAAAGCTTTGGACAACAAGCAAGTTGGGGCTTTTGTTGATTTTGTTTGTCACTATCAAGTAGATACCACCCACTGTAGCTTAGAATTCCTGTATAAAAAGTCACATTGTGCTGTAGCAGTGATTACATATAAATATTTCTTAAATTGCTTACGAAGTTAGATTTCCAGTTATTTCCCCTGACAGTGAACAGTACTCAGTTCCCAGGTAATCTGAAATGACCTTTGTATCACTCTTACCCTTTGTCTTTCTTTGCTTCTTCTTTTGTTTGTAGCTCAAGCCCTGGCTGCTGTCAAATTTGATGGAGCATCTTTCTGAGGTATCTCTGGACAAACTGAACAATGAAAATGGCCCCAGACAAATTACGTTTATTTAATTTAGCAGTTAACAACAATATGACAAAAGCGAAGGAGGTCCTAAGAAGAAAGGACAAATTTAAAACATGAATAGAAGCTATAAAGACTTGTAAGGTTAACCTCCCAAACTCCAGTTCATCCAACTTATTACAGCCACCCACACAAGGGAAGGTCTTCTACCAGCTTCAAATTGTGTAATATATCTATATAATTTAGCTCAGGACGTATCTACTAAGAGATAGAGATTACTGATTAACTATGTTGATGGTGAGATTGAGGTTCGATGTGAATTCACACAGTAATACTGCATATAAGAGGCCAATGCTGAAGATGAACAAGAAAAAAACAGCAGCAGAGATGAATCCAGAGAAGGAGTTAGGGTTTTGCCACATGAACGTCACTGAGGTTAACGAGTCGACAAGACTCTCGCTAAAACCTACAGAAAGCCTTTGAACATGCTTCTGGACAATAAAAAGCCAAATGAAGATGTTCTTAGATCTCTATATCAACCCTGAAAAAACACCAATGGCTTGTGGCCCAGTGAGGACTTAGTGACAGCCTGACTGTATTTGTCCACACTGAGACAACTGTCAAGACTGAAGCCGTCATACTTAAAAAAATATACTGTAAAAAGCAGAGGACTCTTCTGAACTCACTGTGATGCCTGTTTTCCATCATCATTGTAAAGTAATGTCACCTGGATTATGTTTTGCTTCAGTACATCACCTATTTCTGACACCAAACACGCAAGAGCACAGAGCTTTTTGCGACGCAGAGCTGAAGATGAAGAGATGAAATCATGACCCATCTTAAAAACTTGCATAAGACCACATCTTGTCCTACCTCAAAAACACAATATTAATTTACTAACCTGTGTTGCTAGGAGGATACCAAGAGGACCCCCTCTCATATTTTCTGTGATGGTTTTACTCACTTACTTGTAGGAGCGTAAAGTCCCTGATATAATCAAAAAAGAATGCACATACTAGACTGTGTAAGAAGGAAATAAAAAACACAGCAGGCCAGGACACAATCTTTTGCCACAGATGTAAAGAAGCATCTGTCTGAGGCAATAATGAAGCCTAAAAGAAGAGACAGAAATAGCTTGAATAGACCAGAAGCTTTTTTTGTAGTGGAATACTATTTTTCAATTCAGTATTCCTTCAACATATGGTCATGGCAAACTGCAGTTAGGATATCAGCAAAGAATTTTTGTAACTTTCCTAATCTTTATGGTGGTCATCTGGTGGTTAGACAAGGGAAAAGTTAGCACAGAGTACTTGTAGGAAATTTGACGAATACCTGGGACTCTTGTTGAAGTCAAACACTTATGGGATATTGGAACTGTTTTATGAGGAGTACGGTCTAGAACTACTCCATTTAAAAAAAAAGTGTCCTGAGATAACTTCTGTAATGATTTGCCACTATACAAATAAATTGAATTGAACCGAATTGGATATAGCCATCCTACACCTCGGCCTCCACACCATCGCTGTGCACTGCTCTATATGAACCTTACATTTCTGAACTGTTTTGGCACAGAATGTTGGCACTCAGTGTAAATCTCTTATCCAGAACAGATGCATATGAATGTAATTCATATGAGACAGAGTTGCATCAAACAGCGACACAGTCACCTCACCACCAACCACTGTGTGCATTCCTGCATTTTCCTGAAATTCTTACAGTGATTGTCTACATAAATGTACAGTAGGTATGTTGGATATGCGTTTAGAAATGTTACACTGTATGTGGAAAGTAAAATAGAAGTGACCTTAGAAGTGTAACACTGCTAGAAAAACACTTGTCTGTGTAAAGAGGAGTTAGCTAAAGATGCAGTTATTTGAGAGGAATTATATACGGGAAATTACTGTCATGTAACATATCCCAACAACATTTCAGCTAATCATGCAGTGCCATAAGTCTGAAACATGTCTGTCTGTTTTATATGCTGTGATGAATGGACATAAGTGACATGACTTAAAAACAAGTTTAAATCTGGAGGAAATGCAATGACTGATGGCACCAATGGGGATTGCTAAGGTTAGACATGATCAAAATGTGCTGTGTTAAGTGGAATTCCGAAGTGAAAAATATAAATTATAAAATAAAATATTAAATAATTCAATAATATGTTTTGAAATAAATGTAATATATGAATAAAGTAAATAATACATTAGTTAATTACAGTACATTTCATTTTAAAACGTTGTACTTTAAGGCAATGATTAAATAGAGTAAGTATGCAGGTAGATGTGGAGTTTTGACTACATCTGCTGGTATTTTGGTGCCCTGACTATACTTTAGTATTGTCTATACTATCTATAATGATACACTAAACAATTCTAGCTTCAAATGTTAGACATACTTAGAACATCATCATGGTCCGTATTATTAAAAAAAAGCCACTAGAATCTTATCTCTCTAGTTTAGGCCATGCCTCTTCATTACACCTTCCTCCAGATTTGAATGCTGTGACCACACACACCTCCCCTTTGTTATGTATGTGTTATTTATGCTTACACACTTCGATGTTCAAGTGACCTGTCTTTGTAGAAGGCTACTGTAACTACATGCTCAGATTCAGAGAATATTTTACAGAAAATTGAATTTTATGTGGAAAGCACTTAATGGATCTCACTACGCAAAAACAAAACAAGGATTTAAGAGAATACTTCTATTTTTTCTTGTTTTAAGTTATATTAAGAAAGGGAATAAGTTCAAAAGAGGGAGTACATATTTTTTTAGATGCATTGATATTTGATGACAGGTTAAATTTTTACACTCAATTGCGTTTAGCATTTTTCACAAGAAAGACTTTGTTTTTATTTTATTGCTCTTGAGGATTGTTTGAAGGAGCAGAACATAGATATTTTTAGATAAATTGGAATCTGTTGACATGACAGCCAAAAGGTGGTGTCCAATATTTGATACTAGATGTAGCATTTGTGGATGATAAAAATAAAGAATATATACATCATTTACATTGGTCAATGTATTTAATATTTTGGACTTCAGTTACAATATATCCTATAGTACATGTAACCATTGCTACTTTGAGGAAAAATAGACAAATTGCTTGAACTATGCAAATGTTAAAAAAGAGACAAATAATATGCTTGCTTTCAGAAAACCTTGCAATAAAGTTAATGTATAAAAATATGTGTTTCTAGATGCTTCTGAATTCATCACAGTATTTTGTATGATAAAACATGTCTGGCTGCCTGGAATGATGATACTGCTGTTATTTTAATCCACTCGTTGATGATGAAGTTCACTGCCAAAAGGACTCCTAAGATTAACTGTCCAGTCCAGTCATTACCAATAGGCTCGCTGATGATATTCTACAGCTTTTGTTATATCAAACTGTATGTCTGAATAAAAAAGTACAAAAACAAAGACAGACTGGATTCTTTCACATCAAATCTTAGACAATGAAACTCCCTAATTGAATGGGAAGCTTGGTATCTCTTAATAATAATGAGCTCACCTAAAATTTGTGAGAAGAAAAAAAGTCTCAGTCAGTCTGTGTGTTAAAGCCGTAGTGTAAGTCAGTCAGTCCCATAATAACAAAAAGTAAGCTCCCCTGAAAGCCATGGTATAGTTTGCACACTGATGATCACCATCATTTACAAAAAAAGATGAAGCATATCTCCCAAATTAACATACAAATAATTTATAAAACATCATCATGAATTGCATTGAGACATATATAGAGAGAGCTTCTCTAAACACAATTGTGTATGTGCAGAGTTTGACCCTAGAAGGATGTTTCCACATACACTGACTGGATGAAGTAAGAGACGTCTTGTGTCCAGCAGGAATATTTTTGAAACTTTGAAATGAACAAAATTTGCATATTCATTCTGGAAGGTGAAAGTAGATGCCTTTTTAAGCATTTTTACATGGAAATCCTCCCTTTTTGTTGTTAACATTTCAAACACATTTATTTTCCAAACAGACTATTTGTATATACATCTTAATGCATGTATGGAGGGGATCTTTAAGTTGAGAAAATGTTGGCCTGTAACCTATGGTTATCTGCTCCTGTTTCCTCACCCATTATACTTATTTTTAGTGATGTCAGTGTAACATGAGGACAAGACACATGCCTTCTCAAAGTTTGAGATATTAAGCACAGCGTTAGTTCAGGCAGGCCACGAAGTCAAGCTCAGCTGTAAATTCCAGCTACATCTGCTGATCACAGCTAGTCGTAGGAATCAGCTGATGGCTCGGCTGATTCCTCTTAAGCTTCCTATTGGAAAAACTATACACAGTCAGCTGACAGCTCAGCTGATTCCCTCAAGCATCCAATTGGCAAATATCATTCAGGGCGCCTTATTAAAGCTGCTTTAGCCTGCCTATCTTTGCTGCTTTCTCTGCAAGCCGTTTTGCAACCCATAATTGTATCTAATTAATACATGTCTCTCCTTGTCTTAAACTTCTCCATGTATGCACATGGAAGGGCAGGGAGGTGTGCTCTGAACTAAACAATTGCATCACTGCTTCACACACAGATGGCACAGCCATCGGGAGCAATTTGGGATTCAGTGGTTAAGGACAAACAACCCTCCGATCACTAGATCCACTCTACCATCTGAGCCACAGCCGCCCAAATAGTAGACATTGTAAGTAAGAACAAAGCTGGCTACCTAATTCAATCAGGAGACTGATCAGAGACTGAGAAGTTCAGATTAATTTATCTGGCACATGCTCATAATGAAAATACATTCAAGAATGTGGGGAGTCATTGATGCTTAGACGTCATCTTCATGTTGTGATTTATGGAACATATCCTCAAATCCTCAAAAATCCTGTATACCAGATCAAAATGGCAATGTATGTAACAATTCAGCTACTGGCAATATAAATTAATGAAAATAAAAACTAACAACCGCTAATGCTATAAAAATAAGTGTGTCTGGTGAATTGATGAGATTGAGAAACCGTCTAGCCAGCCTCCATATCTGGCATATTCATGTTTGAATGCATGGAGAAATAATATCAGTTGTGTTAAAAACCAGTTGAAAGTGTGTCAACACTGAAGCCATTATGAAGTTGTGCATGGTGGTCTGACAAAGCAAAGTAAAATAAAATAAAATCCAAATTGGTAGGCATGATGACCAAAACACCAAAATAAGATCCAGGTTGTATAAAGGTTGTATGAGTGTTATGAGTTTACATTTCTTAATTAAAGACAGTTGTTACATTCCTTTCCTGGAATTGGTGTGCGACCAGGGAAAGTGAAGGTGCAGCTCCCTCCTTCATTACCTCCACTGAAGTACCCTGGGAGTGAATTTTCCCTAAATAAATAAAGGTTAAAAAAAGATGAAGCATATCTTTATGGTATACTTGGGTATTATTGTGCAATAAAGTGAACATGAACAGTCAAAAAAAATAATTGAAAAAATGACAAAAACAGGGGCCAGAAACAAACAGAGGAATACAACATGAGTTTGAGCTGGTGGCAATGTAGAGAAAGAAAAATGTGTATGCACGTGTGTTATGTGTACATATAATATACATACATGCACACAAATACATAACCATATTATCCATATACCTACATCCTATCTACATATATACTTTTCTTTCCTTCCTTTTGGAGAGAAAGAAAGACAAAAAAGAAAGAAAAATATATAAAAAGACAAAACAAATACATACTAGCCACTCAGAATTGCCGTCACATCGGGCTGCCAGCCAGACATATCCATTCACTCAATTCAGATAAACAAGGGCCTGTCATGGAGCTGCCGGCAATTCTAGGCAGCTCCATCTGTATGTAAACCTAGGAGTCAGAACTTTTAAAGTGCCCATACAGAAGATAAAGGATAAATGCATTAAATATCTTTGAATGGCTGATGACATTACTTGGGTAGTTATCCCTTTACCTGAGAATCCCCGGTACAGTGGCTCACTGAGAACCTGCTCTGGTTAATGTTCACCTGACAACGTCAACGCACAAAGGTCACGGTTGTGAAAAGGAAAGGACTCATTTGTTCATGACCGTCACAGAGAAACAAAGCCAGACAGTACGAGAGGAGGGAACACATAAGGGATTACCATGGTGGCAATCACACAGTTACAAAGTAAGTCTTACTATAGTTGCTCTCTTCTTAAAATATGAATATAAAGTCAATGCCCCTCTAATGAGTCAACAGATTTGTAGTAAATAGGGTGACTGAGGAGGTTTGTATAAAGAAGCTAAAGTGACTTATACCCTGACTGCAGTAACTTAAGTGTTGTAAAATAAGGTCTACAAATATGTCTACCCAGAATGGCCTCTCTTAAGTAATGAATCGGCCGATAGCAGGCCTCTAAGGATGATAGGCTGCCTCAAATCAGAATTTCATGCACAGCTTGTGCTGATGGTTCAGCCTACCCATCATTCATTGTGTCCAATATGCTTAATAATATTTAAATGTCAAACCAGCTTTTTCATAACATATGTATTTGTGTAAAAAAAAAAAAAAGAAAATGTGTGGGTAGGAGCGCTTTCTGGACTGAATTTGTTTGAGGTGTTCTTTGGATAAAGGTATGCTGATGCTAGAAATGCTGATAGTTTTGGTCTTTTCATTAAATAAGATTCATATGGAATTATGTAAGACTTATCCTTTAAATGACAGTTATTAATCTACTTTCTACTGCGTGTCGGACTGACATGATTGACTAACTGCCTGTAAGGCAAAAAAAACAATTGTTTATTTTTAAGAATTTTTTTGCTTTATATGTTTATCTAAAAATGGAAGTAAAGTAGTAAAAAGTTTGATAACGAGCTGGCAATGATATATGAAAAGAAAACCCATCATGAGTTTTGATTTTGAACTAAGTCATTCAATGTGAAGGGTGTACATTTCAGTTTTGATTTGTGCATTGTTGTTTGCAGTTTGATGAAACACTACAACCAACCAATACCTGATGACTATCTTAAAGTGAGAAGAGAAACCAAAAAATCAATAAAAAAAAAGTCAAGTTATAATATGGCTAACATTTTGCCAATCCCCCGTATGAAAATACAAATCACTGTAAATCTCAAACAACTTATTTTACATTTTTGTATTGACCAAAGTCTTGCTTTAATGTTCCTAACCCCTATGTGTATGTTTGTTTTCCAGAGATTGGTATTGGTCTGATTGGATTTGGTTCATTTTTCCTACTCTTTGGTGTGCTGTTGTACTTTGACTCTGTTTTGCTGGCCTTCGGGAATGTGAGTAATCTTTCATGCTACACACATCTGCTCATTGTCAACCATCATTGGCTCATATTAACATCGAAAGACAACTCCACCCATTCATATAAAAAGAAATACCTTTGGGAAAAGTTTAGTGGTAATTAATGACAAATACAGTTATGTAATAAATTGTTCATAAAGAATTGATTAGTGCAGCTTTAATCTTCAGAGTAACTAGTATCTACAGCAGTCAAATAGGGCTGCACAATCAATCGAAATATTATTGAAATCGATTGATCGATCAGAAGCTGTAATTTTTTTATGAAGGTAAAATGTGTGACAAACAGCATTATAATGAGAGAATTTTAGTGCTACAGAGATACCCTGGCCTACAAATCTTGCTCTTCAGATTTAAGAATACATGTTTTGTTTGGAACAGAGCCCCAAACATTTATTTATTAGTTTTTTTCAGTGAATTCATATTTTTCGGTGAAATTTGTGATGCAAAAAGGATACTTCCCACTAATTGTGAATCATATCTCAATATCTGTCAAAACAATCAAATTATCTTTTTTTTTTTTACTTTATTGTGCATGTGCACCACTACTGTCAAATAAATGTATATTGGAAAAAGTACAATACTTTATTTCTCTTTGAAATGTAATGTAAATGTAGTAATAGTAACTAGTTAAGTTTTACTGTCTGACTGTTTTAGTTCCTTCCTTCCTTCCGTTAAATGTTAGACTAAACACGTTTTATGTTGTGTACTTCATATTTATTATTATTCATATATTACTGTGCAGGCTGTGTGCAATGTGTTTGTTCATGAAGGGAAAAACTTTTAATTTGCATTTGGGTTGCGCTTTTCAAGCATTTTAAGGCCAATGTAGTTTCTCCTTCACACTTGGGGAGGTTAAAGCGAGGGAGTTCAGTATCTTGCTCAAGGACGAGTCAATTATCTCATTGGTGGATGACACACTCTACTTCCTGAGCCATAGAGCCCTGAGAGAGAGAAAAAAAGAAATGACAGAGAGAAATAGAATGACAGTGAGAGAGAAAAAGCACATGGATGATTAAGAGATAGGCTGCATGCTATGGACTAAGAGGTGAAACTGAAACTTAACTTTTATCTCATATTGGAAAACCATTAGGAGAGGGTCTCTTTACAGAAAGTATGGGACAAATGATTAGGGCAACCAATATCTCTTTCAATGTAAACATGGGCATGTGAGTACAATATTCAAGGTTCATAATACAATACAGTATACAGTTGCCTCTGCCAGTTTTCTAAGCCATATAGTTAGTACATAGTCAGAAGACAAAGCAACAATAAATTCTTTAAAGGTGAATTCAGAGACAGAATACTTTTTATCCATTCAAACACATGTAAACAACATCTTTGTCAGAGACAGGAACGTCTACACACATTCCTACTGTGCTTTTGATTGAGTAAGAAGATTTAGCTTTGGAGAAACCAGACAAAAAATGTAAAAAAAAATTATAATGTGAGAATGTGTTTTATTATTCCTTGATTTGATTACCCCCCTTGTAGATCTTGTTTCTGAGTGGTTTGACATTCATTATTGGCCTCAGGAGGACAGCTCACTTCTTTTTCCAAAGGCATAAGTTTCGAGGTTCTTTCTTCTTCCTGGGAGGTGTGTCTCTGGTGCTGTGCCGATGGCCAATCATTGGAATTCTGGTGGAGAGTTACGGCTTTGTGCTCTTATTCAGGTAACTCCTGTAAGGGTGTTTCTGAGACAGAAAGATAAGGCTTCAAAAATAAATAACTAGATGAATAAATGATAATAAACAATGAATGACTAGATAAATAAATAAATAATATAGTTTTACTTTTTTTAATTGAATAGTTCAAAAATAGGTATTTCAATTACACTGTTTTGTTTCCCTCTGTAGGTCCTTCTTCCCCATGGCCTTAGGATTTGTGCTGTCAGCTGTGAATAGCCCTTTCCTCAGTGCAGTATGTTTTGTTCTTAGCTCAGTAGATTTTTAAAAAATCTTTCATTTGATATGTCATATGATATATGTTTCTTATTTCACTTTGGATTTGACTGATTTTTGCTTTTAATGAAATCCTTTGTTTTTCTTAGTTTTTCCCCAGCAGCTCTTCCATGGTCTAAGCAGAAGAACATCTTGTTGCAGTGATGGAAAGCTGGATGCCCTTTAAGTAACAGTGTTAATTAAATAGTGGGTAGACAGAAGGGAGAACTGATTAGTATCTCAACTGTTGTCATTTATTTTGCTAATGTACTGTACTATGTGCGATTTGGGTTACAATTAATGACCCAGTAGTAGTACTGCTTAAAAGATACTCCTACCTGGTAGCTCACCTGGCAGAGCTGCCACCCCATGTACCAAATCTGAGTCCTTACTGCAGCAGCCATGGGTTTGAGTCTGACCTGTGGCCCTTAGCAGCATATCATCGCCTCTCTCTCTCCCCATTTTCTGTCACTCTTCAGCTGTCCTATAAAAACATGCAAAAAAGCATCTTTACAGAATTTTAAAAAATCTTGCAGTTGTACAGGATCTGTATTACATCTAATTTTACAATCATTTACTGATTTATTTAAACCTCTGATGATTAATGATTAATGATGATTTAATGATAACCAGTAAAACCTATGCAGCAATGTGTACTATTGCTCCTATATAATTCTAAATAAAAGTTTAATAAATGTACTTCATTTTGTTAGTGAACAAGACCTATTTTGAGTATCAGCTTAAATGTTTGACATAAATGAATGATAAAGAACAAAAAATAAAACTGAAAAATCTAGTCACTGTAACTTAAAATGGTCATTACATGATACATAAAAAGAAATGTTTTGGCTCAACAACAAAAAACAAAATGTGTATAATAATGTATAGCACCTTTCTAGTCTTCCGACCACTCAAAGCGCTTTTACACTATGCTAACAGTTGATCCATATGACAATTATTCAATTTTTTCTGGCTGAGTGTACCTAAAGCAATGGTTAATCAAGACACGGCTCGTCATTATTGACTATACCATTAGTTCGCAACCTTTTTCCCTTTTTACACAACTTTTTGATTCTCAGAGTAAACTGATGACCCTTTTCCTATGAAATATTTTTATTTTAACATTTTTTATGGAAGCAGCAGGCCTACAGCTAGCACTGATGCACTTTTACCTGCTGATCCATGATGATCTCAATGATCCAGAGAATAGAAATCAATAGTGTTAGGAAATAAATAGTGTTATTAGGAGACATACTCACACAAACCAGTTATTTAAATATCTTATATTTCTTTCAGGTGGTAGGACATTAACAAGCAACAAGTACGTGGTAAAATAATTTTATAAGGAGTACAGTCTAGACTTGCTTTATTTGAAAAGTGTTCTGAGATGACTTTTGTTAAGAACTGGCGCTATACAAGTAAAACTGAATTGAACTGAATTGAATTAATTAAAGCAAGGCCGAGGTGTTGTCAATTTCTGTTCATTGGGTGCTTATGGGGTGGAGCTGCCAATATCAGTGAAAAGATACACAAAGGAGGCACAAGGTCAATGTCTTCCATGCCCCTGCCAGTGTCAGGATTAAAGTCCCCAAGTTCAAAGCAAAGTCCATCACCCTAACCCGAGTTCTCCACCCCACCCAATAAGTATGCTACAGTTACGTTGGACAATGGCCTACATCTGGCACACATCGAAGGAGGGGCAAAAGTTGGAGAGTTGCGTTTGCAATGTTACAAGTGTAGACATGGGAAGTTGTTTTTTGTTTAAACAACACAAAATCTTTGCTTTGTTGCCTATCACCAGAGGTTTGTTTGTGTTTGATAGGGCCATGGTTAAGTAGGAAAAACCCAGCAGGAAAACTTCTTCTTTTCTAATTCCATTTTATTCTATTGCATTTACTTCAACTTTTACTGAACCCCATTTCACACTCTTTCTGAACTTTGTAAAATCCTGGCTGCGCATGAATCTACAAATTAGTTCCCCCTTTCTTCTGAATAGATTCACACAAAAGAAACAGATCCTTTAATAATCTTTAACCAACATTTTTATTGAGCTTTCCCCACTCTGAATGTACAAAGAAATTAAAATATCAGCTCTAACACAGAATAACAACAGACATCAGGTGTTGTGTCACTTTCCGTAACGTAGACCAAAGGAGTTGAGGTTGTATGAGGACACATCTTGACGTTTCTTGATAGTCTGAGGGAGGACCAGCTTTGACATCCACCATTCTGACCTGGGAAACTTTCCATCAGCTGAATGGACCTTATCAGCAGGTAAATTCCTGGAATTCTTTGCTGATGCCGGTATTGATGCACGGCTTAAATCTCTCAGGGCTTTGAGTATTACCTGATCTGAAAAAAAAAAAAAACCAAGACAAAATATCTGACTTCCACATTTTTGACTTAGTCAATTTATTCATAAATTAGATATGACCAGGACTGTAGATAAAGATAAATAATTAAAATGTTAATGTTCTACTTAATTTGTCAGCTTTTTTTCCAGTAATTCTCATCTGTTTTTTCCAAGTCAAAAAGACAAAATAAAAACAGAGACTAATATAGAACAGAAATTCTATGTTACAATCTGTAGGTGTGGATTTTGAAAGACATTGATATATACCAGGCATAAAGAGTCTCATGAAAACACTGCATCAAGTTGCATTATGGGAAGTGTAGGATCTAGACAAACCCTATCAGGACTTAAACAGATGTACAATACTGAATTGCTAATTCTTATCCTAATCAAACAAATAAAAACTACCTGACCATGTTCTAGATGTTAATGCGTTTTGCAACTTGATCCCATTAATATGATAACTTACACAACAATTGATGCAATTTTTCATCTAAAACCTTGTGTAGAGCAACACCTTCAACAAAAATATTTAATGCAGAACTCCTACTTTCTGTTGACTCCCTCTGGACAAAAACAGTAGTGTTTCTACCGCCTCGTTTAATTAATTTCATGGAGAATTCTACCAATTTTGACCGGATAGCAGGCATTAAGAATAACTATTTAGAAATATCATCCTCTTGCTGTTGGTCCTATAGAGTATTAAATTCAGACTGTTTCATAACCAGTTAAAAACTCTATGTTCGTTTACATTAATTTAAAAAAAAGAAAGTTTTGTTATACCATCTATAAATCCTCAAACAAAAATAAATGAGACTAAATATGTACAGAGGCTAATTTTTTGAAAGTGGAATGTTGTTGTAAAATATGAGAAATGATGCACTCACTTCACTGTTTCTGATTAGATGCAGTGGGTTTCTTATAAAACTAGAGGTAATGATTAAAAGTTAATGATGAGGGCAATGTGTTAACCTTATCATGATGATGTACCGGTATACACAGTTGCTAGACAAGGGATCAGCAACCTGACTGTCTAGAGAAGCAAAATGCATTTGAGCCTTATAAGGTGAATTGGGAAAGCAAACAAATCTGTCAACACATTCTTTTTCTCTTTTCTCCTCCTAGAGTTTTCTTTTATTGGATTTGGAGTCCATAGCTAGCATTGCTATGGAGACTCAAGATTAGTAGCCACTGCTATTGAGATTTCTCAGAAATATAGAGGAAAATAATCATAATAAATTAAATAAAATGTCAGCATAGAAAATAAAAACATGAGGTGTAAAAACAGACAGGAAAAGGCACCAGGTCAGGACGTAAAGTAATGCTGATGAAATGTTAAAACATTTGTATATAATTGGATCATTTAATTATCACTTTTGGCCTACAACAATTGTAAATAAAAATGTTAAAAATTTAAAAAAAGTTTTAAGATTTTAGTTTAGTTTTTTGTCAAAGCCACACAGAGCCACTAGAGAAAGGCTAAAAAAAGACAGGTTGTATGAACTAGAAAAATATCTCATGAAGATGATGATGTTGCCCTTTCCCATTTCTGTAACTTTCACATGTGGCATTCACACCCAGTTCACATCATGATTGGTCAGCTGTATGCAGATAAGAAAAGAGCCAGGGAGTCTCTCTTTTGTTATTATTTTCCTGTATTTCTTTCTCTTTTCATGTGTACACAGAAGGAAGGACTGACTGAAAATGTGCACTCATTCAAATTATATTGTCTTTTAATACATTTAGTGTACACCGATGACTGTCTGCAGCTGTCTGTTATTTTACAAGCCTCCAGAACTGGCTATACCTTTACTGTGGTAGCTGGATTTCAAACTGCTGGTGGTGTAGATCTCTGTTGACAAAGCAGCTATCATCAGAGCGACAATGAGTCGTGGCATCGTGACAGTCAGTACGTCAGACCTGCTGAAATTCCTCTGCAAGTACACAGAAATTATTAAAATGTAGGTCGTAGTAAAGGTTTTATCATTAAGGGTTCTGTAAGCATATGATGCAGACAGATTCAGAAGAGCAGAAGGTGAAGTACAGTGTGGATTACTGTGTGAATGAGTGATGATGATTAGTGATTGATTGATTGATTGATGATGTGGTCTCATAGTCACTAAATCAACAGTTGATGAGAAGAGTCTTAGTCAACCCACTTTTTATTAGCTGGATAGTCGCAGAAAAAAATAACATCATCAAACTCCATTTGGGAGCTGCGCCTTGTCAGGGGACTGTTGCAACAAGGGCCCTTTCTCTTGTAACACAGCACTGCTACATGTGCTAATTGTACTTTTGAATGAGTTAGTTTCTGTTCTTTGCCATCACTGTATGAATGTATGTCAATAGATGAATGTGGCATGTAGTGTAAAGTGCTTTGAGTGGTTGGTCGATTAGAGAGACACTATATAAGTACAGTCCATTTACCATTTACCATATAGAATGTATATGTTACATTGAATAAAAATTGATTATTTTTAGGGACTGAGCCAGCGACCACTGGAGGTCACTATTGTATTTGGTAGAGTTTTCATCAAAACAGGAAGTGGAGCATTTCTCCACATTGGTATGTCCGATTGACACCAAGCTTGGGTCCATAGTTCCCCATGTCTTCCTTAGGCATCATGCACAATTTCAGGCCATTGCCACAAGGTGGCGCTCTTTAAAATAAAGAAGTTTATATCTCCGCATCGGCACGTGTGATTAAAATGAAACTTGGTATGATGCTTGCCCATGGCTCCCTGAGCTAAAAAATGTGTCAACAATCCA